TGTGAGTCGGCGGCGTCCGCCATCTTGAAAATGAAAAAGCAGGGAAAGCCGGGTCCAAGTCACGTGATTCAACGTTATTAGTAAAATTGCACTGTATTCCGTAAAATTGCACTGTATACTCTGGCACCCCTGGGTTAGCAACCCTGCCTCTGGAATAAGTTATAAGAGGTTGGGAGTTCAATCCGTACGTGGCTGTTGTTGCCCACCTGACATGCACGCTATGGTAAAAGGTTGCAACCACAGACTGTTCATTGTGCTTGTGAAAAAGATGTAGACGTGGAATTTCCTCAGTCCAGTGCAAGGAACCTGTGAATACTGTACATACAAAATGTAGCATCTGACTTCTTTGTCACAACCAGTTGATGGGTAGCTCTTCAGTGAGCTGAAACTGCATCGAGAATTCGAGATCACATTCCTTTCCAAGTCAGCTTTCAAACTTTTATGTTCTTGCTTCATAAAATCCATCTTAAAACTGACTGGTTTATAAAATTGTCTATACATGTACTTGTATGAAAACTGGAAGTTAAAAGTTATTCTTTTAGTTTCAAACGACATTAATTGCTGTATCGAGATTTGGTCTCTGTCTCTTTCTTTATAGGAAAGTAGTTGTGATGGTATAATTGCGATGGTATCCGTTCTTTTTGTGTTGTGTTTTTTTGTTTATTTACACTAATAAACAGCACAAAAGAACATAACATGACTGTTACAGGTACCAACCTAAAGCATACTTCACCAGGCCAGGCCTAAGCCTTAGTTTTTACACTTCTGGGTTTAAAGAAGGCATCTAGAGCCATCTGCTTCTTCTTGTCACTGCTGTCACTTGAAGACTTTCTCTTGCGCTTGTTTGAAACCTGCATGTAAGGACAAAAACACAAGACAACAATCAGTCCTTTCTTAGCTCCTTCACATTCACTGTTATACATATAGAATACAACACGGGGTATTCCGTATCGCCCAAGGTATCGGCCTGCGGCCGTCGGGCGATCCAACTCGCGGGAGGGCCGGGACCGAGGGTGATGCGGAATACACCGTGTTGTATTTTATTTATATCATACCAACCTAACAAAACACGCCTTTCAATGCAAGATGAGCCAAAAGTTGGTGCCACTAAACCCTAAAATGCAACAACATCAATTCCAACGTCCAGATTCTGTATTCGAATTTTCGAAAGGGGCATAAGCGGCTAAGGCGAAACGCGTTCAAATCGTTTTATGGAAGCCATGGAAGCGTTCGATAACGGGTTCCGGACCGGGCCGTACCGTAAAGTGCGGCCCGGTCCGGAACCCGTTATCGAACGTTATCGCGGCCCGGGTATGATATAATTAGCCCTACGAAATACCAGTCCTGGATACCTGATACTTGACATCAAGACCATCCTTCATAACATATTATGAACACATAACAAATGTACCATCTTACACACTGACTATTCAAAAAATCAACACAAAATTACAGAGGTTTTGTTTCACATTTATAGCACTCAATTGCTGAACTAATTATAAGTAACATACCTTGCTTCCTGTACTGTTCACTGTAGCTGGGTGCTTGCTTGCAGACACAGATGCTTCATATGCCTTAAACACCTGACAACAACAACAAGAAATCTGAGATTTCAGACTTCTGAGATTGTATTGGGCTTTGGGCATTTGCAGATACATGTATAACCTTTGTCTCTGTGAACTGTACTGTATGATCAGAGGGCAATACCTGATTGAATTACATCACACAATGGGTCAAATCACATTATGACTCCAGGGCATACTGAGTCCATGACCCCATCACTCAAGTCAACCTCAGTTCTTCAGTTCCCAGTGCAGATTTTACACAAACACACAAACTATCAATTAATGCGACCAAAAACAATACTTCTGCGCCAGAAGTCTTAGGGCTCTAGCCTGGTTACCAAACCTATTTTGGCTAGTAAGTCTCTTTCCTCTATCGCAAATACAAGGAGATAGAAAGAAAAGAGACTCGGAAGCTGAAATAGGTTTGGTAACCAGGCTATTAGGGATCCTGATGCAAGGAAATTATGTTTCAAGCAGACTAAACTGGCTGGACAGATACAGAAAACTCACCTTCCTCATAGCTGTGGACAAAGCAGCACCCTGCAGTTCAGACCTGGTTACCCATCTACAAGGGGGCGCTTCTTTATCACCAGTCCCTCCATCTTGTCCATCATGCTCTACATCAAAGGTCTCCACAATGTAAGTCTGATGAATGTGAGAGAAAATGTGAACCACCTGGAAAAAAAACAGACCAAAGAAACATCACATAAATTGTATTACAACACAGTATGCATAGTTATGACAAAAAATACCATGCATCTTAGAAATATGACCTGTAAAATGCTGCATACATACATTCGATAAAAACTCTGCTGCAGTACGATTGAGAAAAGCCAGGTGGAACATTTTTGAACTTGAACTACATTTTCAACAACAGCTCCCACATGACAAAAAATAAAAAAATCCATCCACAAATATTTGAGCTATGTTGTTGACCTTTATATATAAGGCCATGTTGATTTGATTATATGGATGACATCCGCGCGCGCATGAATTTTCGGCCGTTTCCAAAAAAAAAAGTTTTCAACCATACTGTAAATCGTACAAAACAGTTGCAAAATGAGCAAAAATACACCATAAGTTACAAAAAAAATTAATAAAAACTATACCAATGTCGTAGAATGCCAAAATGAAACGAAAAAAAAAGACGAAATTGTAAAGAAATGAACTTGAAGACTAGATTATTCGCCAAACCATATTCTGTGCCATTTGCTCAACCCTCATGACCACGTAGATTTCATAACGAAAAGAACTTTTTTTTTGCAAATCTTTTTTTTTATTCGCACGCGCGCATCAGTTTTGGGGCTCCCGGAGGATGTCATCCATATAATCAAATCAACATGGCCTAATATACACAGATACCACAGCTGGTCCACCAGGCTCAAACCGAATACATAACTTTCTGACGAAAGCAATAAAGTAATAAGGGAAGAGTATCTGTAAATCAGCATCATATTATTTCGCTATACATACCTCTCCAACATGAGTTCTCTTTTCAACATCCTCAAATGTCAAACCAAGGGTTTCCTTCAAGTAGCTGTCAATCAAAGATTTTCTGGTCTCTGATTGGCTGTCACTGCCCAGCTGAACACTTGGAAACTCCCACAAGCCTGCAAGCAGCCCTGAAAAACAATTGACATTGTTTTTACAACTGTCTATTAAATATCTTAATATATGCTAAGGCCTAGGAAAAAAATAGTGTGTTTCCTGTTTCCAAACAGACCCTAGAAAATACAGCCCTATCTTTTTTTGGGGGATGGACCCATGCAAGGGACATGTAAAATGTTGTTTTCAGTTTTCCAACATCGACATTGAAAATACATGTATAATTATGTGACCTCATGTCGTGCAAGTTTTACTTTGTTAAACTGTGTTATATTAGTTGGGATCACTTAAAAAAAAAGGAGAAAAAAGATAATCCCTACCTACCGACCCTAATTTTTCCAGGACTGAAACAGGAAACAACATTTTTTCCCTAGGCCTAGGCTTTCCTAGGCTTTCCTAGGCCAAGGCTGTCTTTACTGTAGTGATGAAAAATGACCCAATTTTAGACAAAAGAGAAAATGTATTGCTTTTTAAGCCTTGGTACTCAGCAACTTAAATTGGTCCTGTTCACAAGGGATTATGGGACATTGCCAAAGGCCATTTGGGCCAGACATTTGTTAGTGACATGTCAACCCTGGGTAATATTTCATATTTTCTTCATAACAAAATTGTCAATATTAATGTTACATGGCAAAATACATCACGCTTTCGTCCTTCCACACATTCTACACCTTTTCTTGGAATATTTGTAAAAAATATCTGATATTGTTCAAATATAGAAAAAGGATAATCTAAAACAAGATGTCATGATAACCATGATACCACATGGTTGTAGAAAATTCAATCCTCCAAATTCAAAGTATTTCACAGATTTAAATTTAGCTCAAAATGATTAAACTTGAGAAATGTTTGTCCATAGCAATGACAAACAAATATGTAACTCCAACCAAAGCACCCACAGGCACATTAATTCAATCACACAAAATGACCTTCCTTAATTACTTCTTAATCAATACTACAGAAATTAGTGACAAAATAGATGATGGTCATTTGAAAGCATATGGAATTTCATAGTTTAAGCGTTTCATACATAACTGTATTTTAGTTCAAATAAAATATCTTAGTTCTCGTAAAAATTACATGTGGTAATCTCATCTTTAACAAAGAACTGTCATTTCTAGAATCAGTATACTGCCAACAAAGGCATCACAACAACAAAATAGACAATATCTGACTGTAACACTGTTTGCTTCGATCATAATGGACAATAAAGAATTAGGCACATTCAATTACAAGGACCATGACTCTTCAATAAATCATTTCACCTATGCTTAGTGATGCATACCTAAACCCAATTTTAGGTTCAGGTCCGGATTCAAGTCCAGAGGTTTAGGTTCAGTTCCGGACTTGTAAGTCCGGACCTATACCCATGGCGTATACAAAATTGCATGTTGGCAACCTTGCAATGTCGTCTGGGTGAAACTTTGGCCACATAACATGGAGGCTGGTACTTGACGATGCCTGATGGCAATGTTTTCTTCATTTTGCAGCAAAGATTTTGCAATCTACGGAAGGTTTTAGGTGGTTTGGAAAGAAAAGGGGTATGTGAAATGGTCTTTTATGGTAATAAGTCCGGACTCGGTTCTGGACTTTTAGGTTTTTTTGGACTTGAACCTAAACATTCTTACAAGTCCGGATCCAAGTCCAGTGAACCGGTATGCATCACTACGGCTATGCTGCATGGCTGGCTATAAAATCTTTTGGCTTTCTAATGACTTTCTAGAGAGTTGGAGTTTTTATGGTCATACTCAACAGGAAGTCGCCGCAGCCTTGAGATGTCACTGCCAAAAATGCAACAATAAAACCGCCACAAATATTTCACAATTTATGGTGTTACCTGTTTCTGGCCTCTGAACAATGAGGAATTTTGTCTCCGATCCTTCAGTACAGGAAATAATGGCAACAGCAGTCTGTTGGAAGAATATAGATCTGCTGGTTTATACATGATTTTCATAAATCAGAAGAGCACAGATTCTAGAATTAAATGACAAGTGATATGTGCAAAATGTAGCAATTATACATTATGATTCACTAATCTCCAAGCAGATTCGGTGGGGCAAGTGGACTTTATGTTGGCCACCTGTATCCACGAATCTGCAGCAGAATGCACCAGGGCAGGGCTATCCTTTCAAAATTGGTGTTGCTGCTCCTCCGGATCCCTGGCAACCATTAAAACATTGTTTGGCAAAACTTTTACTGCACTGGGATTAACATGCATCCAGCATACTCTCCAAGCAGAGGTTGTTGGGGAAAATTGTGACATTCTTTATCATGCGCCCAGTTTTTGTCCGCCTTCCCCTACAAAGGGAGTAATCCAGCAGTCAGCCCAGCAAGCTGCCCCCTCCCCATGCTTTTGACACTTTATGACTTATAGCATCACAAGGTTTAGCATCATAATCAGCTTCAGATGAACACGAATATTTTTAGAGATACCATGGACAAAGCAAATCTAATACACTGTAAAAGGGAGAGGAATTAGTTGTTTTTATTTATGAGTCATGCTCTGGTTGCTACACAGGAACACCCACAGTGTACAGTGAGGCAGAAACCAGGAGGTACTAGTAGTAAACTCCTGCCGAAAACTTTGCACCTATTCAAATCGGCCAAAATGTGTCAGTGATTGGATTTAAAAGGTTTGATCATGAAGCCTTCCATTTTGCAGCAGATTTGTGGGGCAGACGATTGATACAGGTGGCCAATATAAAGTCCCCTTGCCCCGGTGAATCTGCTTGGAGATTAATGATTCACCACCAATCATGTACATGTACATGTATGTGCAAAACACAAATGCTACAGTACAGCAACACCCTCTACTGGTCATGCTGAAAACTGCACCAATGCTGATTGAGGCAATGAGTAATTTAACCTTCTGTGGGACATACATATACAAAACATCTCACCTTTTCTTCTCTTGGGGGCTTCTTCTTTGCTTTCCTAGGATAATTCATGACTCCAAGACTGCAAAAAATGGAGTCATACACAGCTTTGTAAATCACTTCAGATTCTGACAACAGTTTGATGCTTTTTATATTAGCAGAAATTGTAACATCAATACAAACATGTGTAAGTATGTTACCTGCTGTCCAATGACTCTTCCTTAGGTAAACAAAGGCAGCAACCTTCCACCACTGCAATAAACAATTACAGGTAGGTAATTGTTAAATTAGTAAGTAAGTAAATATTAAATTCAATCGCAAGAAGATACTTTTCCTCAAGTAGATCATGAATGGACTAAAAAGTGTGTTTTAGTCATATACAAATGTAACGTTACATGTAACAAGGTACAATAGTGTACATATTTGGCAATTCCAAAAATTTGTCAATGCCATAATAATTGTATTGAAAGTTTTTCACAACATAAACTTGCAATTAGGAGATTAGGGGAGGAGTTGCAATAGTAGATATTCAGATATTCACCATCCTCAATGTCTTGCACACCACATGGTGTTTCCATTTTCTTCAGCAGCATCTTTTCAAGCTTGTTCGCTGATTTCTTCTTCTCAATTTCCACCTGTCAAAATTACAATATTTACCTCATACTAGTACTTTTCTTGAAAAAACACTGCTAGTACTAATATAAAAGGTATTTACCTGGAATAAAGACATTTCTGATAACCATTCTGTAGACAGAATGCACAGCCGTTTTTTTTTCTAGAACTATTGTTACAAGAGTGGAACTCATTGCTACAAATTACAAGGCATCACTAGATAGCTGTAAACAATGCATATATGTGCAGAGGTTACATGTAGGTGTGACAGGTTGTTCAATGTATAACATAATCAGTTGCCACATGTAACTGCAAAGCTAATGTGTTACACCAAAGTGGCACAACATATTGTACGTATTTTGTAGCCCCCATGCAGTACCTGTTGATAGGCTGTACAGAGCCCTCTGACAGGACAGCCTCCACAGTTGGGGTTCTTTGGTGTGCACACAGTCGCTCCCAGCTCCATCATAGCCTGGTTAAAATCTCCAGGTCGCTCAGGGTCAGCCAGTCGGTCTGCCAGGGACCTGGGACAGGTAACAAGAAGAAACCTTGAAAAGAAACAAGAGATTTCAGACTTCCGGAAAGTATGCATCCCTCGGCTTTCTGAATTCCCCCATGTGGACCTCTAATTCTTGCTGGCTCCCAGACCAGATTCTGAGAAACAAAAAAGGTCATTTCCAATGACGCAGAAACCCCCAACAAAGCCTATTTCGAACTTGTCCTTCATCTCCCCAACAGTAACCTGCCTACCAAAAATCATGAACATCTATCCATGGCTTCGTGAGTTATGCTGCATAAATCCACAGTCACCCAATCATAGCCAAACAGAATGCTAAACCTTCTGGAAAGGGTAATTACTTCTTGCATTGCGAGTGGCTATTCTGTATAAGAGTAAGACACAAATCTTCCTTGTTTGCTAAACTGTATATGGACTGGATTCCACGCACCACATGACCTCCATGACCTGCGGACTGGTGCTCTCCGCTCCGATGACCCGTAACCGTGACAACACGCGGATGACATTCCCATCTACGACACCCGTCACCTGGAAAATATTGCAGGTATTTGCTATATTTTAGCAATTTTCAATTAACCTTCATTATCATTTAACTGCCAGGTTATATACCAGATAATCTGGTATAGTACTTACATACCATATTCATTTGAAATACAGCTGCTGAGCATGTTTGAGAGATCTCTAATGCGGCATCCCCTACATTGTACATGTATGCAAAATACTAGTATGCAAAATTAGCAAGTTGCAGATTGGAGATCTCTTTGGATGCTTTATTCAGGTTGGCAGATACAGGTACAATGTATATGTGACCTCACAGAGTTATCTTACCTGTATATGTTAGTAAATGTAACATTCTAATGTACAAGCTTTAGGCTATCTTAACTTGAAAAGCAATAGTAGTGAGGGCTATATATTGGCACCTGGCCATTGTGGTAAAATCTAATATTCTGACTACATGTACAACTTCTTACCTGATTGTAGGCAATAGATGCGATGGCACCTGCTGTGTACCTGCCGACACCTGGAAGCTCCTTCAGCAGAGAAGCAGCTGTACTAGGCATCTGTCCATCAAGCTCTGTCACCACCTGTGTCATAGGAGCATTGAGTCAAAACAACCTTTACATTAAATATGTATGGAGAACAGAGTATATGATGCAGAGTATGTATGATGTATATTGTAGCACATATGCCAATTGTGGTTTTGCATTAGGTTATTTTTTTCTCCAAATCAGTAATACACATCAATGATAATCTTTTTTCCTTCAGTTAACTCAAAATTTGATACGTCACTGTTGCACAGCATTCAAAGCACATCAGTAGAATGTACTGCACCTGTGCAAAACTTGTGTGTGCATGGCACTTGGGCACATCTCATGTAAGGTTGCATTCGTGCATGTAAGGTTAACATTCCATCTGTAGTTTGTCAGAAAAAATATTGTCTGCAACAGGAGAAACTCTGATGCAACGTTGACCAAAAATCCAACGAAAAACGTGAAAAATGGGGGTTTTGCGCAGGCGCAGCATGTTCTGCCAACATGCTATAGCTAGCATTCAATAATGTTAAGAGTTTCTGACCAGCAACAATTTGAACTTTCATGTTGAATAAAAGAAAAACTCCCACCTTCTGTGCCCCTTCATGTAACCTCCGACCTCTGGAGTAGTAGCCCAGACCTGACCACATCTCATTCACCTCCTGAAAAATGACAGACATTTTATTTTTCTAGAATCCTTGGGTTAAAACGTTGACTTTCAAAGACAAGGCAATGAAATGCCCCATTCTGTATCTGTATCTGTATAGCCGGTATAACCGCCTTTGGTGTAACACACCAGCTTCACAGGCATGCAATGTGGCGGCATCGCGCAGCTGGCTACATTACACCAAACGACCTCTTACACCTAACCTTGGAACATCTAACTCTAAACATTGTTTAAAGCTATCTAATATTGAACTACATTGAACTACATGTGGATGTATTTCCTAGCAACAAACTGCATGATGATGTGTGTACCATCATACTACCATGGAAAGAATACCATCCCTTACCTCCAGGCTAGCTGTTGCCAGTTTCTGAACAGTTGGCCATTTCTCCATCCAGCGGTTGTAATAGTCGATGACTGTGGCCACCTGGGTCTGTTGGAGCATCATTTCTGACACCCACACTTTGGAGTAAAGTATCAATTTCCATTATTATTGTTATGTATTAAAGCAAGTGGAGCTATAGTCAGTGACTATAGTATACAGTGTAGATCCATTCGCTTACAATCATACAACCAACATCATATACTGTCCATCATTATCAACCAAGTTAACATCTATTGAGCAATGGAATAATCTTTTCTGCTAGTTATAGGAGAGCTACTTTACCAGGAGAAAGGTGGTGTGTAATTTACCTGCATAGGCCCTCTGGTTCACATCTGTGTTCTTAAGCTGCAGAAAACAAATATACAATCAATGTAAAAGAAAGTAATGCGTAACAGCAGGAAACTATAGCTGTATGACAGCATTGCCATCAACATGCAACATCTGAGTAAAGGAATAGGCATTATTTTATCTCTGATATTCTTTAACATCACAATGGGTGATAAATAGGGGCCCGCATGCCCTTTTCCATAAAGCGTAATCAGCCATTTTAATTCTACTTGGAGTGTAGATGGACCGCTCTAATTCAACGTAGAGCGTAATCGGCACATTTTGCGTAGAGCGTAATTCGTGTTTTAATTCTACGAAATGCGTTGTAGCTACTTGGAATTTATCGTAGAGTGTAATGGCTACTGTGGTGTAAAAGGTAGCCAGCTCTCAAAATTTAGCGTAGAGCATTGTCGGGACCCCCATGCAGGCCCCCATAAATAGCTAGGGACATGGAGGCTAGATAAACTTGTGCCAGTTTTAATTCCCACCCACCTGCCGTCGCCATGGGAGATCCCGTTTGTTTACGTCGTACCAGCTGAGGAGGTTGGACCTTAGGGTAGGGATGTCATCATCATCACTCAAATGATGAAGGCCACATGTCACTGCTAGCAAATTATTATACAAAATTTATGAACAATCCAACTTGAAGTCCTCATCTCAAACGTCTGTATATGGTATATTTTACCACTACAACAATAGACACAGAATGAAATGTTTTTAACGCTTCTAAAAGCTACTCTACTGCACATACTGACAGTGTTTACAAAGTTATGTAACATCTGGAAGAAAATTATGCTCCAGTTCCATACGTGCCTTCCTTTTCCGTGTTTTTTCTGGCAGCCTGTGTGCCTTTCCGTCGCGGTTTCACCATCTCCAGACTCCTGAACTTTCCAACAAACAGCAGGACACCTCGATGGAGCAAAATCTTGATCAAGAACGTTGAAAATCAGCTGAAGGTAGACACGCACTACACATCGGCGAATCTGCTGACCAGGGGTGGTCAAATTTGGCGCGAAACTACAGGTCAAGGGTCAAGTTGGAATAGTACACTAACAGATATTGGGGGACAAGAGTCTCATTTCTAATAACTAATACTCGCGTAACGTTATATAGAAAAATTGCATCCATCAATTATTTTCATGAGTTTTGAAATGAGTATAGTGTATTTTTTATCATTTATATTTTACATTTTCATGCGAATATGCGTATTTTCTTACTATACCACAAAACCAGTATCCCCAAGAATCATTGGTTTAGTCCTATGTTCCAGATTTAAAAAGTCTTGTCGTCAGCCGGACGTCAGGTCCAGTCATGGCGTGGTTTTCCCGCGTTCCTGTCGTGGATGTGACCAAAGACAACTTCAAGGAGCTGTGGCCGACCATCTTAGTGGCACTGAAGACGGCGACATTTGTTGCTGTAGATCTGGTGAATAGGGATTTTTCAGCAAACGTTAGTTATATTTTGAAGTGGGAGGGGGGTAGAGACAGTAACGTTACTAGTAACTGTTAGGCCACACCAAGTAAATTTTATGGATGACGTCCTTTGGAGACCCTAAATCTAATGCGAGAGGGCGAAAAAAAACAAGAAGGGCCCTAAAAAACAAGATGCCTAGATTAGAAATATACTAAGAGACGACAAATGTTAGGACACAAATTGAATGAGGTGACACAGTGTAACAAGCAAGAAGTCTTTTATTCATCATCAAAACAGCAATAAATCAGGTGGAATAGCAGTTGTCGTCCTGTCCTGTTTTCGCGTTACGGGTTTCACGTCAATCTGACGATTTGCAACACTGTCGTGACTCTATGGTCATAGTTACAGGAAGCGGAATTTCTTGTTTTTTTTTCTAGGAACAGGCCAAAATCAATGCGCGCGCGGACGTCATCCATAAAATTTACTTGGTGTGGCCTTACATGTTCTTGCATGCCTTGCATCGTTGGGTAGCATCAAAATTGTAGTCAGTAGAAATGACAATCAACTGATGATCTTGTGATAAACCAAAGAAAATTATCTTTCTGAATCATGATATATGTGTTAATTAAATCCAAGAGATTACATGTACTATTGTAAACATATCCATACATTTACATATACATTTATATTATACATTTGCGACCACCCCTATCAAAAACCCCTACCCCCACCGTGCTGAAGCCCTCAAACTAGTGAGGTTAGCGCGTAAAGGGAAGAAGAAGAAGAAGAACAGAAGGGGTCATGTCTAGCCTGGTTACCAAACCTATTTGCTCATTTTGCAACAGTATTGTACAATTTACATCCTCTCCGCAAATAGCGGATGTAGGACTCGGGAGCTATAATAGGTTTGGTAACCAGGCTAGTCATGTCAACATGATATAATATTTACGAATTAATTAACTAATCACAGAAACGGAGCAAACAAACATGTACGCAATGAATAAACGTATTTGTATAATTGTGTGTGTCTGATGATCATATTGAAAGTATTGATGATTGATATGCCTTGTTATGTCATCACTACAGGAACTAAGTGGTCTGGGCAACCGTAGGAAGCTTAACACACCGTGAGTAGACTAGATTTTTTTTGACAGTGTCAAAGTTCAGAGCAATATGCAGCCAGTCTTTGTGCTTTATCATAATGACAATAAGGAGGTTCATAAATAACTGTCTTTGTTTACATGGATTATCGTAGGCATATGCAAGTTATATTTTTATTGGTGGGCAAATCACAAAACTGCCATCAGTTTTTTGCCCTCCACACACTGGCCGTGACATCTTGGCAATTGTCTTTGCAATTTACAGTGCGCAGCCAATTACAATATACATGTAACTTTTAAGTTATAACGTTACCATAACTGTTACTTCAAACATGACATCTTGGAATGTACCTTCCCTTAGTCCTCTTCTGAGCCAGCATGGCTCTTAAGGCAGAAGGAAGGTCTTCCATCTGGCCCGGTCCGCTGCCATCTTTGGTGCCTCATCGAGAGTGAAACCATGGCTCCGCACTTCTTTGTCGATGGTTCTTCGCCGTGTTTCCTTCGGTCGTCCTCTAGGTCTCCTGCCCTGAGGCGTCCATCTTAGAGCTGTTCTGATTATACTATGTGATGGCATGCGGCATATGTGGCCTAACCATCTCCATCGTCTGTTTATCAACATTTCGTCTATTGTCATGAGTCTTGTTTTTAGATGGAGATTTCTATTGGAGATTGTTTTTGGCCAGAAGATTTTTAGTATTCTGCGCAGACATTTATTTTGGAAGACATTAAGTTTGTTTTTGATGTAAGATGTAAGATCTTGGAATGTTAAGTGAGTGAAATTATTAAATCTATACTGTCATAACATCGACGATTGAGGTTAACGTATGTCCTTGCGTAGGTCGGTGGATGACCGGTACAAGTTCCTGGCAGGGGTGGCCAGGTCACGTGCTGTACTCTCTATAGGACTCTCCTGCTTCAAACTAAACAACATACCTGAGGTCAGTGGGCTGTGATTGGTCGAAAGTTTTAATGTTGTTTCTTGTCAAAACACCTTCCATGATTCCCAGTACTGCTTGTGGAAATCACAGTAAAAAATAACAACATGCTGGCATAATCATGTTTACCAAATGAAAACATGACCATGCTCCGTTTCTTCTTCTTCCTCTTCTTCTTCTCCAAACAAATGAGGTCAATCACCAGGACCAGACATCTGTCACCATGGTTACATAATGTTGCAAGTGCCATGCATGTTTCCTTTCTAGTGTTTTCTTTTATCTTTGCAAAGTTAAAAAAGTTATCATTGTGTAACTTTGTTGTCCTACCACAAAATTTGTGCCAAGGGTTTATGTTTACCAAAGGAAAACATAATTGTTTTTTAAACTCAGTTTCTTCCTCTTCTTCTTCTTTTCTAAACAGTGACCTATGACCTGACCAATGACATGATTTGTTGACGTCTGTCACCATGGTGACTGGTGTTGGGTTACATAATGTTGCAATTTCATGGTCTGCTCTGCTCCTGTCACCATATACTAGTACATGTATGTGAATGTGTTTGAGCAGACTAAGTCCAAAGGTAAACATTATGCATTTGCTTTGCAAATGTTATTTCTCTAGTTTACAGTATTATTGAAACCACTGTTTTACAGGATGGACCCCTTGTCCTCCCGTTCACCACCCAGACATTTAACCTGACCCTGCTGTGCTCAGAGGAGTATGTGGTGGAGCCTATCTCTCTCAAGTTCCTGGTGGATCACGGCTTTGACTTCAACATGCAGTATTCACAGGGCGCCCCCTATCACAGAGGAGCAGATCAGGTACTGCAGATACTGTGACTACATGTATCATGAAATTGAAATTTAGAAAATTCTGGATAAAGAAGAACTTTATTAACACAACAAAAGTACAGCGACTTTCGTAAGGTCTAAAACTGCATGTAGATATACAGACAAATACATGGGTAACGAAATTAACCTACGTACAAAACAATAGATGAGTCAACTAATACTACTTGTTCTAAGGTTTAAACATTCTTTGATATATTTACCTATTTGTACACAGTAAGGGTTATTACCTTCTAAGATGAAATTAGATTTATCTATAGCATGAAATGTAACAAACTCTGTTGAGCAAGCTGAGAGAAGGTTGAACAGCTTTGAAATACTACATACATGTATAATAGAGAATTCATCTACCTTACTGGAAGATAATCTAACTGGAAACTTCTTATTTTTGTAGTAGTAAAGTTAAAGAATATTATCATATAGCCGGGTGACGTTGACCAATCAGAAGGCTCCATTCCACATTCTTTTTGTCACCGTAATGTCACAAATAGAGTCAAAATCGGGTATTTATTCATCCCAATCCATACATTAAACAAAATGGATAATCACCCGCATATGACCTCAGGTGACCCAATAGAACACGGCTCTACTTCTAAAAAATCCAAAAATAACTTGAGTTGTGTTCCGATGACCTCGGGTGACTCCAATAAGAACACCTGTTCCCTGCCTGTGACCCAGATAGAAGGCCATAGAACATGAACCCCCCAGTGACCCCAGGTGACTTCAGATGGAACAAATATTCTATGTTCTATTCAGCATGTGCAAGGGGTAAATTGTACATTGTGTCACTCTTCACTGCATCAGTTTGGATAGGCTATCGCGTAAGCTATATGATAATAGCGTTAATGGCCCGCCCTTTCTCGGTGAATATGGTGTCACAGTGATAAAACCTTGTCAGTTGCTATAACCACCTCATAAAGCCACCTCGTTCGCTGCGCTCACTTGGTGGCTTTATTCGGTGGTTATAGCAACTGACAAGGCTTTATCACACCATATTCACCTCGGGGCGGGACATTAACCCTTAATTAAGGATGAGATTTAAAACATATTTGTAACTATGTATACATGTAGTGGATAATGGTATAATGGAAATTTTGTTCATTAGAAAGGAGAAGAGCCTCAAAGTGTGCGTCAGTTGTTCAGTGAGCTGGTGTGCAGTAAAGTTCCCCTGATACTGCACAATGGGCTGGTGGATCTTGTCTTCCTGTACCAGGTAATTAAAACATTATACCAAGGACATTATACACCGTGTATAATGTCCTTTATTTTACACATGCCTCAGCAAAACACCCAGAATGATATTTTCCATGTACTGCTATCATGTCCAGCTTCTATGTCCACATACATGTAAATAGGTGCTGTGCATAGGTCCCTTGTACTTCATTAGAGCAAAATTAATCATCTATACATGAAGATACTGTTGATCTTCTACAGTTACCTAGTCATAAATGTACCCTGTACAGATATAATGATAATGATATACTGTTCTTGGTGGCAAATGAATACAGTTCTAACTGGTATTAAACTGTCATTGGCACACCAAATCAGTGTGTGACATCGATAGTCTTAAAAGTTCCGTTCCATCGTGCCTTGTCTTGCCTGTTCCCGCAGCCATTTCAGCATGTAGGGCGCCGTCTGGACATTCTGATGGAAGTACAGCTTCACATCATCAACCAGGCAGCCTGTACAGATTTAGAGCAATAAAGTTCATATTTTTATTTTTTTCAATGTGATGACTGTACCTGGCATTACCATGATTCTTTTTACATCCTTCCACAGATTTTATGTTATGAATGGTGTAAATTTTATTAGCATCTTTCTGTCTGTGTCTGAAGATACACATGTAGATTATCTTTTGTTTTACTACTATAATTGTTCATTTTGTCTTCCAGTCCTTCTACACAGAACTCCCCCCCACACTTGGTAGTTTCCTGGCTGATCTGTCAGAGATGTTTCCTGCGGGGATTTTTGACACCAAGTATATCACAGACTTCCACATCCGCATGCCAGCATCATACCTGGAGTATGTCTTCAGAAGAAGGTACATTCAATACATAAAAAGAGTTTTATATTGATCTACATTTTAAAATATTTTGTTAAACTAGAGAAGTAACATTTGCAAAGCAAATGCATAATGCTTACCTTCGGACATGGTCTGCTCTGTTAATTTTTACTCAAACACATTCACATACATGTACTACTAGTATATGGTGACAGGAGCAGAGCAGACCATGAAATTGCAACATTATGTAACCCAACACCAGTCACCATGGTGACAGATGTCAACAAATCATTGTCATTGGCCAGGTCAGAGGTTAGTGTTTGGAACATAAGAGGAAGTAACTGAGTAAATATAATATGTTTTCCTTCGGTAAACATAACTATCTTCTAAATTGTGAGGTGTAAGTCCTTGGTTTCAGTGTTCTAGCCTGGGTGCCATCCTCCATAGTTACCGCCGGCTCCCAACTGTTGCTGGCTACCACAGAAGCCAGTGGTGGTAGGGAGTCAGAGGTGACTACAGAGGATGGCACCCAGGCTATCAGGCTGAGTGTTCTTGGTTCCTGTGCTTGTCTTTGCTCGAAAATATGGCAAGGTACATGTACTGTACAGTACTGAGTACACATACAGTATATATGTCAGACTTGTCTTGACTTGTCTGACTTTTGTTCCTTTTCGACTTCCAAAAATTGTCTTCACTTTATTTGCATATCAATCAATAGGTTGTGCTTATAAACCTGCATTTCCCCTCTGGTCTCTCAGTCACTGACGAAAGCTAGTGGATACTAGCTGAAACGTCTGACGTTTTCAAAATCATATCCAGTTGCTTGAGTAACTACTTTTTGGCGTATGTCAGACATACCCTATCTTTCCAATTCTCTCACTCTCCTTGAATGAAACAAGCTTCAAGCAGTACAGATTTCAAAACATTTTAGAAGTTAACTACCAAGTTCTAAACGTTTGGTCTGTTTTGCAGTCAGAGAGAGAATGCGGTTCAAGAGTCAAAGCAGCAGGCCCATGTGACCCTGACCTTTCCCCCCTACCCACCACACATGGCCTGTGTAGAGTACAGGGACTGCTGCCTGCCTGACACCCTACTCAGCACCACACAGAGTACCACTGTAACACCCTACTGTGAACAGTATGGTGTAAGTAGCACCTCATGTGAAATGGAAATGTTTTGAGTTCAAGCTAATGTAGGCTTTGTTTTTAGCAGTTCTTTGCCACGATTTAACATTCAGCCTACATTGTAAAATGGGTACTAGTACATGACATTGGTTGGGGATGTAAAAGATTGTGGAAGGAGAGGGAAGGGCTCTGCCTTCCAATGCTGTGCCCAAGACACAGTGGGTTAACAACCCACTGCCTCTACAGCCTGAAAAAGGCTATGGGACTATCTTTTAGCCTGGTTACCAAACCAATTATAGCTCCCGAGTCCTACATCCTCTCCGCAAATAGCGGAGAGGATGTAGGACTCGGGAGCTATAATAGGTTTGGTAACCAGGCTAGCTCAAGAGGCTCATATAATCAACCTTGACCGTTGTGTTCCCAAGACCTACCCACATACCAAATATCATCAGTCTATCCAGACCTTATTATAACCTTCGAAAGAAGGGTATGTTTTCTGTTATACCATGGTAGAGTGGTTTTTATGTATGTACAGTATAACTAAAAAAGCTGTGGATGGATCTTCATGATATTTGGTAGGCGAGTAGCAGTTGTAAAAACAAAGTCAAGTTCAAAAATGGCTGAAATGGCATTTTGGTAACAAGTTCAGGTAGCTGTCTGGCAGAGAATCTGGCAGGGAATTTTCATATAATATACATTTGATTCAGTTATATCTACATGTACAAGTAAGATACTTAGCATATAATACACTCAGGAAAATGCAGAATTTCATTCGAATGTAGAAAATGCTTCTCACTGCATTTTGAGACCTACTTGCAGAAGTCTTTGTGCACAGCTGTCTAGACCCTTTTCTGTGCCGACAAGTTCGATAAACTCCATGTGTAGAGGCATCTGATAGTACCTGTGCACATGTGAACAGAAAGGGTGTCACTCTTCAAACATGGCAATGCCAGTAATTCTTTCCTTTCAGAAACAGACATCTGAATTTCAATCCTCAGCATGTGTACTGAACTGTCCCTTACTTGGTCGCTACATCCTCCCCCACCATGTCTACTGAACTGTCCCTTACCTGCTATCTACATCCTTCCCCACCATGTCTACTGAACTGTCCCTTACCTTCCCTCTACATCCTCCCCCACCATGTCTACTGAACTGTCCCTTACCTTCCCTCTACATCCTCCCCCACCATGTCTCCTGAACTGTCCCTTACTTGCTCTCCACATCCTCCCCATCATGTCTACTGAACTGTCCCTTACCTGCTCTCCACATCCTCCCTCACCATCTCTACTGAACTGTCCCTTACCTGCATTCTACATCCTACCCCATGTGTACTTAACTGTCCCTTACCTGCTCTCCATACCCTCTTAAACCATCTCTACTGAACTGTCCCTTACCTGCTCTCCACATCCTCTACTTCATCTTCCCAGTTTTCCTCACCAACTTCAGCTGATGATCTGAGAAAAATGGCAGAT